AAGGAAGGAAGGAAGGAAGAAAGGAAGGAAGGAAGGAAGGAAGGAAGGAAGGAAGGAAGGAAGGAAGGAAGGAAGGAAAAGAAGGAAAGAAGGAACGAAGGAAGGAAGGAAGGGAGGAAGGAAGGGAAGGAGGGAGGGAGGGAGGGAGGGAGGGAGGGAAGGAAGAGGTAAGGGCTTGGCTCAAGTGGTAGCACCTGCCTAGTAGGATTAGTTTAAGCCCCAATACCTCAAAAATTAATTAATTAATTAAAACAAAGATGCTGAGTAGTTCCAACATAGAAAATAATACACATTAAAAGTGATGTGCCAATTACCTGGATATGCCAAGTGTATTTCATTACACAGGTTCTAAAATATCACGCCATTCCCCAGGAATATGGACAATTAGTTGTTCATTAAAATTAAACACATGCATGGGGTTCTGAACTTCTGTGCAAAGCAGTGTTTTCTCTGGCCAAGAGGCACCATGATTCTATTTCAGCCCTGGGGGGTGGGGGGGAGGGAGGCCCAGCATGGTTTCCTTAGCAGTTTTTTTAGATTTATAACTTAAGTGTCCCAAGTAAGGAAATACCTCTCGATCTCAGCCGAAATGGCCTTTGAATTGCTGCTAGCAACAACTCCCAGACACCGAATTTTATATGCCAGGAAAATAAAAAGGGAGTGAGGACTGGGTGACAACTTCTACTTCACCATTAACTAAAACGGCCGTGGTGTGAGAGCAGCGTGACCTGCCATGGCTTCCTCTTTTGTTGTCTGAGGTCATGGCACACTCTCGCCGGCCCACGAGGCATGAGGTTCCAGGCAATGAGCTCTGGGAAGATGTTCCAGGCCTGCAGAAGAGCCGAGCCAAGGCACAGTCCCGTCTCATCCCCCCCCCCCCCCCCCCCCCCCCCCCCCCCCCCCCCCCCGCCTCTCCCCTCCCCCCTACTGGTTCTGGCAGGCCGGAGGCCGGGGAGCATTTTCTGAGCACCTACAGTCTCAACTTCTCAGTTCCAGTTTACATTTGAAGTTTAAGCTGGGACTTTAAGTGTACCCCTGGGTTTCCGGCGTCCGTCCATGAACACCGAGGAGAGACATCACCTCAGAACAGTCCTTTCAGATCGGTCTTGCTTTACAGAACACTGGTCGCATGGCTCTGGCTGGACTTCTTCACCATTTGGGAGGGAGCATGTGCTCTCCCCGGTGCACCAGCCACCCCGGCTGTCCCAGACATCCAGAGCATGCCCCAGCTTGCCCCCCTGCCCCAGGCCGCCACTCTAGGATTCATCGTGAGATCAAATCAGGAGCGCTGTCTCTTCCCAGCTCTGCAGCAGGAAGCCCTCCCTCCACACAGCGCTGTTTCTTCCCCCTTTCTCGTCCTCCATGACCACCCCCTCCCCTCTCCCTCCACACACGACAGAGGGGGGAGGAGAGGGGGGAGGGGGAGAGGGAGAGGGAGGGGGAGAGGGAAACGCTCAGATGAGACCAGGGTGAAACCAAACACCTGGGCCACAAACTTGGCAGCGCTCGACCAGGGAGCTAATCTGTAACGACTCTGCTTCGGGTTTGAAGCACCTGCATCTAATTTGATCCAGGATCTGAACTTATCTCCACAAACATTTCAAATGAGACCCCTTTTGAGAAAAAGGCCTTTGATTTTTTTTTCTTAAAGGAAAACATGGCATTCCAAAACCACTTCGAATTACTGATAGATGAAGTCTCAAGAGTCAACGTCGAGGAAGTACACATAAAAATCAGAAATGGATTATTTAACCCTAAGTGAAGCCTTCCTCTGACCTTCCTTTACCATGCTCTTCTTCCAGCCCAGGCTTCTGGGAAGGATCTAGAAGGATGTACAGGTCAGAAGCCCACAGGTACAGGCACTTAGGGATCTGAGCTCAAGCCTGCCGTCCTTCAGGGCCACCCTCACCTTGAGAACCGAGGAGGAAGCCACAGAACTTTGCAGATCAGGCCAGTAACACCCCAGACCAGGCTCCTGCCAGGACCACTCAAGTTCCCAGGGGCCTGGGGTGAAAAGCCCCTCCAGAGTTCACTGAGCAATCCTCACAGACACTGGGAAAGCGCGCCTGGGAGACAACCCTGCAACAACCCTTTGAATGGGCTACAGAGTGCTCAGGGATGGGAGGAGGAGAGGAGGAGGGAAAGGAGGAAGAAGATGCTTCCAGGCAGAGGACAGGAGGTTCAGGAGACCCTGCCAAGCGAGCCTGAGGAGGAGGAATCAGTTGAACACGAATGACAGAGAGAGAGCAAGCAAGCAAGCTTCATCTGCCCACCACTTGCAGCTTACTCCTGTACCCTAACAACGCAAGAGGCTAAGGCCTGATCCTCACAGTTCACAGCCAGCCTGGACAGGAGAGTCGATGAGACTCTTACCTCCAATTAGCCACCCAAAAGCTGGAAGTACAACTGGGGCTCAAGTGGCAGAGCTCTAGCATTGAGCAAAAAAAGCTTGAGGACAGCGCCCAGGCCCTGAGCTCAAGCCCTAGTCCCAGCATCAAAAATAATATTGAATAATAAAAACCTTTTCTGTTAGATGACCCTTCTGTCCCGAAGAGCGGCCTGAAAAGGGACAGCCAGGAAAGAAAGGATCAAGATCCCACAAGCAAGCGGTGGCTCGTCCGGAGCCCATGGAGTACGGGCCATGAAGATAACTCCCTGGTGAGTAGCAGCTCACCCATCCCCAACGCAGTGTGTCCGGTGCCCGGCTCTGCCTGGGTCAGTCCCTAGAACTGACGCCGCCAGAGGGGAGAACCAGCCAGAAGACATGTGGTCTGCTCAGTGCGTCACCCTCTCCCTCTCCATCCCTTCATCCCTCAGGATGAAGCCCTAAGACCCCAGGCTAGCTTCTCCCACTAGCACTCCGTGGAAGGGACCAAGAGATGTAGACAAAGCAGCCCGGGCAATCACCAGCCCAGAGGTCCTCAGCCAAGGCGGGCGGGGAGGCCAGCCTGGAGCTCCACCCCTTGAGTGCACACCCCCAGCCCAGCTTTTGACTGGTTAATTGGAGATGAAGTCTCCAGGAATTCTTTGCCCAGGCTGACTTCAAACCCCAGTGGTCTAGGATTTCAGGTGTGACCCACCAACATTCGCCTTCGACTCTGCTTTCTGCTCCTTCTTTCTGCCTACAATATCTTTGAACTGAGATCTCAGCCTGCTGAGTAACTAGGATGGTAGGCATGAACTACTTGTGCCCAGCATACTGGAGAATCTGTGTGTGTGTGTGTGTGTGTGTGAGCTGGGTGTCACACCAGCCTCTTCCAGCACAGCCCACACCCACACAGTGGCTGAGATGACACACTGGCTGGGAGGGAGGGCTGGGGAGTGAGACTGTGACTTCTCGAGTTGGAGTCAGTTATAACCACAACCCCGGGGCACAAACAACCTGCCCTCTCCACCCCTGGCTCACAGTGCAGACCGGAGGCTGGTGAATGGGATGCAGTGGACGGGAACATGAAGGCAGCGGGGAGGAGCTGAGGGTCTTCCCGTAGAAGTCCAAGGGAGAAGATGGCCTACCAGGACATCTCTGAACAAAGCCTGTCTCGGCAAGGACAGGAGGCGTATGGGAGGTGCACGGGGCCTCTGCCGGCTAGAAAGCCCCACAAATCACTCATTCCCTGCCTTCAGGTGGAACCTGGGGCTGAGTGGTCAGAAGGTCACTCTTGAGGGGGCTGTGGAGAGATCGTCAGGGGACTTGGGGTGGTTCTGGGGACAAAGCCCCAAACAATATTGACGTGGGGGAAAATAAGCCCCTAAGGTCACAGGTCTCGGGAGTCCATTCCTACAAACTGTCCAGGAGACTTACAGAAAGCAGAAGAGCAGTTGCGGGAGGGATGCGGGGAAGAGGAGAGGAGGGAGAATGGTAAGGGGTTTTCTTTTGCGGTGACAGAAATGTTCTGGAAGTCGACGGAGCACAGCATGGGAGATGCCAGGGAGTGGTCTCTTCCCCACAGCTAAGTGACAGGAAGTCGCCCCTAAAGGATCCACAGGGCCACGCGGTGGTCTACGCGTTTCAAGTGTGGATCCCACTCCGAGGACGCTCCGCTCAGTTCTCATCTCCAGCCCTCCCGCTACCAAGATAAGGCAGCTCCAGTGAGTCATAGAGGGGGCGGGCTGGGGACTGGGTCTCTGGCCAAATCAATCCTTCAAAGCACTGTCAGCAGCAGCCTGGCCAGCCCCCCCCGACCCCCCCCCACCCCCATCCCCGGCCACAGACTCAGACACAAGCCCGGGCTCCACTCAGAACAACTGTCACCTCCCACACCTCGGCCCGGCTCCTGGTCTTTACCCAACATCACCCCCATCTCCCACCCCCCCCACACACATGCACCTGTCCTGCTCCCCACCCCCCACATGTCACCAAAGAGGTGGGGTGATTTGCCTGTATTATTTAGAGGAGAAGGAGGGAAGGAGAGCCTAACTGCTACCCGAACCTCTGGTGGAAAACGGCTGTTATAAATAGCAAGGGGGAAATGCGCAGGGCGCTGTGCACAGGTGGTGATTACTCACGCATTCACGCGTGCAGGAGGTAGGCACACGGGTCCTGGAGAGGTTCTCCAACGCAAGTCTTACCGGCAGGGCACCCCTGAGGGAAGGGAGGCGGGTCTAACCGGGAGAACTTTCCGGTAAAGCCACCGGTCTGCATGGTCCCTGAGGTACATATTCCCAAGGGGGGTGGGGGCTGCGCCGGGTCACCAATGACTTCTTGTCTTGCTCAGACCCAAAATTCAAGATGGCCCTGACACCTGTTGTCCTCACCCCTCCTACTCAGCTTCTTTCCAGAACAGTCTGTGAGGCAGGCGTTGCACACAAGACAGTCTGCTACACACACAGACACACAGACACACACACACACACACACACACACACAGACAGACAGACACACACAGACACAGACACAGACAGACACACACAGACACACAGACACACAGACACACACACACAGACACACACACACACACACACACACACACACACACCCGCCCAGGGAAACACAAATAAATATCCTGTCCTTCTCCCCACATTACCCCCACCCGCCACACCCTGCCACGGGGGCCTTCCCGAGGCCCCAGACCCACGGCCTTTCTCCCACCGTGAGGTGGACGGGCAGGGAAGGCGCAGGATCGCCCGGTGAGCCTCCAGAGACACGCTCACGCTGTCTGTGGGCAGCTCGCTGTCCCCGCGGCCGTCCACCCTCGGAGAGGCGGAGATACCGCTTCAGAGGGCCCGGAGGACGGCCCCGCCACCACGCCACCCACTCCACTGCAGCGTCCACCCTTCCCCGCACACGACCTGCCACTTGGCTGGCAAATTCACTCATTTTACAGACTGGGGACAAAGGAAGAGCGGATGCCCCTGAACTAAGAGTCGACATCTCATTCCTATCTTCTTCACTACTGCCATGAGTTCACCACAGACATGTGTGTGTGTGTGTTTAATATCTTTTCCTTCCTCTGTACTAAAGCACAGCACAGCGTCACTGACTGCTGTGTCGGCTCAGAGAGACCCATCACAGCCGTGGGGGCCTTGGCATGAGGACCGAGAGCACCCCTGCGCGCCGCTGCCCCGCCCCACCGTGACCACGCCGCCTGAGGAAACGGTGTGCTGCTTCCCGAAGGCTCCCGAAGACAAGCCTGTCTCAGGCAAGGCTACGTCTGAAAAGATGACTGAGCCAGAGAGAACCCGAGAGGGAACCTCACCCAACCGCTCAAGATTCCAGGAGGCGGCTCCCATTCTGCCCTAACACGCAGGCCCGATACCTACCTAAGCCCGGCGAATGCCCTACAATACAACGCCACTCCTGGTTCTTGCCGTGTGTCTGTGTGTGTCTGTCTGTCTGTCTGTGTGTCCGTGTGTGTGTTTGCTGAGCCAGGACCTACCTATGCATCCAGGCTGGTCTTACACTAGTGATCCTGCTGCCTCTGCCTCCCCCAGGGTGACTTCCTATGAGATCAGAGAATGTTCTAGACCACTTGCTTTCCACACGCATCCTCTTTGGCTCTGCAGCTTTGCCATAAAAAGCTCTTCACGTCGTTCACCCAATAAATATTTATTGAGCATTTACTATAACCCAGATGCTACTTTAGGTGTTGGGAAAGCAGCAGACTTGTAGAGCCAGCCTCCTGTCTCTCTTACATCAGTGGCCAGAAACCAGCATGAAGTAGCACATTCCAGTTGTTCACATGACCACCTGACTCCACGTGGTGGAGACAAGGTTCTTCGGGGGAAGTCACGGTACCGGTACCGGTACCAGGCGGAAGACAAGGAAGGGATTAAGGAATGGAGAGCTGGAGAGTGTGCAGAGACTAAAGCAAGATTAAAGCAAAGGCCAGGGACAGGAAGCGCCCTGAGAGCTGTTGCTTTTGCAAAGTTTAAAAGCCAGTGTGGCCAGGAAGGGTGGGATTAGAGGGGTCCTCTGGATTGGGGTGCACAGACTCACATACACAGGTCATGAAGAGGAGGATACCAGGACACGGGGGAAACACGTCAGAGGCCTGGTTTGGGTCTTGGACTCTGACTCTGGGATCTTCCTAGCTGTCGAACTTTGGGGGAGCAGGGGTAGGGGGGAGGCTTTCCTCCACTCCGGAGCTGTGAAATAGTCACACAGGAAAAGAGCTGAAGAGAAATTCAGGTCTGCAAGACAACTACAAGCCACGGGCAGATAAGCCATGAGTGTACTTCATGAATTTCAACACCCATCAACATCTCTTCTTGCCCCAAAGCCAGCCTGGGGAAGGAGGAACATCTGGAGATTCTTCTCTCCAATTAACCCCCCCCACACACACACAGAATCCAGAGTGGAGCTGAGGCTCAGGCGGTAAAGTTTGAGTGGAAAGCTCAGGAACAGCGTGGCACCCCTCACCCCTTCTCCTCCTGCTAACTCTGTTTTGACAATTCTCACCTTGCGCCAACCTTCGCAGGCACCCCATGGTTCCCTCAGACGCTCAAGGCCTGGCTCCTGCAGCCATCTTCCGGCCCCAGCACCGCCACCCCACCCTACCCCACCATCACTACCCACCCTGTGTACTGCAAAGACTTTTCATTTTTTTTAACTTCTCGGTGAGAGAATTTCAGGGAATTAACTGTACATCAATGAGGTAAACCTTACATTGAGTCTCAGGTTACTCAATTAATTGGGCACAGATTTAAAACACTCAACTCCTTCCAAACTCCACCAGGGAACCTAGGGCGATCACCCAGCTCTGATCTGTCCCCATTGCCCCCCCCAGCCCCGCCCTCCCTTACCACGCCAAAGGCCATTGGCTGAGATCCTTAACCCAGCAGGTCAGGTCACACAGACCCCAGTGCCGTCTGTGTGGGGCTTGCGGGGTCCTTGGCTATCTGGGCCCTTGTCCATACACAGGCCCCTTGTGAGGCCCCAGAGACCACGTCCGTGAGCCAGGCTCTCGCTGGGGGTCTGCTCACCCAGGCCCTCCCGGTTAAGCCAGATGAGCTCAGACCTTGGACACAGGGGTTCTCCAGAGCCCAATTTCTCATCAAGACTCGATCTCAGCTCACAGCCCACCCAAGTGGGGTAGAGGTCACCCCAGAACCCCTGACACTGTTAAACCCAGACAGCGGGCTCCTCATTGGCTCTCACCCACTGCCTCTACCTGAGAATTACCCTGGCCAACCTCCTCCCTTCATTCTGCAGTTACTGAGACAAAGGAATCTGCACAGCAGGCTAGACGCCTTCCTAAACAGCTGAAGCCTGACCAGTTGCCGCCGCCCTCCTCTTCCTCCTCCTCCTCCTCCTCCTCTTCTTCTTCTTCTTTCTCTTCCTCCTCCTCCTCTTCTTCCTCCTCCTCCTTCTCTTCTTCTTCTTCTTCTTCTTCTCTTTCTCCTCCTCCTCCTCCTCCTCTTCCTCTTCTTCTTCTTCTTCTTCTTCTTCTTCTTCTTCTTCTTCTTCTTCTTCTTCTTCTTTTCTCCTCCTCCTCCTCTTCCTCCTCCTCCTCCTCTTCTCCTTCTTCTCCTTCTCCTTCTCCCTCTCCTTCCCCTCCTCCTCCTCCTTCCCCTCCTCTTTACAAAAAGGAGAGGGAGGGGGTAACCATCAGTACTTCGTCCCTCCACAGCAGCAAACCCGTTTGATGTATGTACATCTTTTTATTGCCCTTGTCTGCCACTCGGATTTGGGGTATAATCACATCAGCCTGCCTTTCTGAGAATTCGTAGCTGTGTTTTTAATCTAATTCGGGGACTGGAGATAAATCACAGTGAAGGGTCCTGATTTTCCAAGCCAAGAGCCTGCAGCAGCAGCAGCAGCAACGGCGGCGGCGGCAGCGGCATGCTAAGTTAAAGGGCAGCGAGGAGGAGGGGGAGGTTTCCACGCCATGATGAAGACCACACGCTTCTATTGTTTGTCTCTTCGTGCCAGCCTGAAGGGTTGAAAGGATGAAAGACAGGCCCAGCCACATTGAGGTAAGTCAACAAGAGCACAGGAAGTGAAGGGTAGGGGCGGGGAGAGGGCCCCACTGTTAAAAGCAGTGTTTACATCTCTCAAAGCTACACAGCGTGCACGCGATCTGCTCAGCGCCCCAGCGTCTCAGCGCTGCCTGGGTACCAGCGGCTGTTTGCACAAGCAAGTCACAAGCAGAGCAGCAGAGGTCTCCAAGACCACTGTGCCTGCCTGCTCGCCATGGTCTCCTGATGCACCCCTGCCTAGCAAGAAGCCCCCTGGTCCCCAACTTGACAACCTCCAAGGGTTTGGACAAAGCCCTTACCTGTTGCCTTCACTCTGAGCCTCTGACTTTTCTGGGGCAGCAGTGGTTGCCCGTGGCTGGGTACACGTCTCCTGTGTGGCTGAACAGGAGCCATGAGTCATGCATGGCTATGAAACTTCAAATGAATGCAAACTTCAAGTCACAGGAGCCACATTCCACGTGGCCAGTGCCCACATAGGGCTAGTAGACACCTGCACACACAGATAGGCGGACATTGCTGTAGAAGTATTGGTCAAAAAGTGCTTCACTGAAGGCCCATCAAGAGGCCAGGGAAATAGCATCATCCAGTGGTAATATGGGCATGGCTAGAATTAACAATTGCACAGAGCTGAGGGTTGTAGAACTGTGTTAGCACATGTGCTTAGCATGCATGCATGAAGCCCTGGATTCAACCCCCAGAACCAAATGATACAGACATAGATGGGCGGGTAGGTAAATAATAGGTAGACCATAGGGCTAATCATAGATAGACAATCAATAATATATATGATGAATCACAGATAAATGGATAACAAATGGTTATTTAACAACTACCCAGCAGGTAATAAGATTTTGTTATTACTTTTTTTTTTTTTTTTTTTTTTTTGCTCAAGACTGGGATTGGAACTCTTGATCTGATGCTTTCATTCACTGGCCCACACTCTACCCCCTGAGCCATGCCTCCAACCCCTGCAATTACAGTTTGATTCACTGTGTGGCTGTGATAGAAGATCCCGTTTTCATGGAGCCCTCTCCAGTATGCACAAGGCATTCCTTGTGTTCGTCTCCCCATCACACAGGATGAAACCCGAGGCGTGGTCATGACCAGCAGCTCGCCTCACCCGGCCCTGCCTTGCCTCTCCTTTTCTGGGTTTTAGCATCATCAGCCACTTTGATGCTAGAAGGCCGCCCAGGCCACTTCTTCAAAAGGCCCAAGGTTCACAGGTCGATAAACCAATAAATTAGGTCGAAATTAACTGTGGCTCATTTTAAACAGAGGGAAATTGATTTTCACATGTACGTGGCTGGACTGCATATGCCACCCACCAGCAGATCCAAGCGTACCCAGAGACTGCACAGGAAGGCCCCATTCTCATTTACATGTAGCCCAGACCGCTTCCAGAGAAATACTAATCCTCAGGTGTCAAACCAAAGCTCTCCCTTTACCTTCCTCACATTTACTGAAATCGAAATCAACGGAGGGCAAGTCAGTGCCCTACCACAGCTTTAACACATGGCCACACAGTCAACTCTCCATGATCTGCACCAGAATTGTTGTCAAATATTCAGGCTTTCCCTGAACACATTTATACCAGCCAATTCCAATACCAGAAGCTCAAACTCATTCTAATACTCACTTAAGCAAAATCTAATTAAGAAAGTAAACTGATGCTTTAAAAGAAAAAAAGAGGACTAAAATGCACAACAAAAGCAAATAATAAATTATGTGTCAGATCCATGCTCTCTGGCTGATTAGCACGCCCGCCAGCCCCCACAGTCACAGTGGACAGATGCAGGCCAGCTTCACGTAATACTTACCTGGGTTAAACAATGGCACTGCCGAGCTGGCAGTGTTCGCTAAGGAAACAAGAGGAAGATCTGACAAGGAAATATTTTCCCAGCATCCACCCTTGGCTGTGGGATGTCCCCTATCATTTAGGATAGGCCTTGTGGTCCCAGGTCTCAGAGCAATTCATTAAGCACACCACTCACTTCCTTTAACAGGACGCAATGAGAATACTGGCAAAAAGAACACACAAGTTAAAACCCGGATCCGTGATCTCTGTATGCTGCTCTTCTCCCAGGGCTGGGCTCTGCCTCTCTGGGGAACAGCCAGACATCATCTCTCCAGGCAAGGAGAAGGAGAAAGCCCCATCATTCTGCAATCCTGGCTCACGCAACCCTCCGAGGAAAACGAGAAAGGAGTTATCACCTTTCCCCCAGCCTGGAGAAAGAAAAGGTTGCTGTCTTTGTGATACTCTGATACTTCAAGTAACACCCTGATTCCTTAATTATAATGCCACAAATATAGTTCATAAAGTTAATCTTGTTATTCATGATACCAGAGGCTACAGGGAACATTCATAATTTTAGGTACGTGCACACTGTAGATAGATGCAGAGGATATACGAAAACCTGGTAGCAGTGGTTGACAGCAGAGAAGAGGCTCAGGATAAACAGGGCATAAAAGGGAAGGAAATGTACACTACTCCACACAAACTGTGTGTGGTAACCCTGTATTTCCTCCCAAAAGCTGAGCAAAGCAAGTGAACGATATTCATCTCTTCCCTTTAATTCTCAATATCACTCTTCTTATGATCCTTACCTTCCATCCCTTCCACCTTCCAGGGCTTTCATTCTCCTTTCCAAAACATGCAAGCTAGCAGAACACTGGAAACTCAACACTAGAATCCTAGCTACTGAGGAGCTGAGATCTGAGGACCACAGTTGGAGGCCAGCCTAGGCAGGAAAATCCAGAAGACTCTTATCTCCAATTAACCACCAAAGAGGTGAAAAAGGAACCGTGGCTCAAGTGGTAGAACACCAACCATGAGCAAAAAAGCTAAGGGACAGTGCCTAGGCCTTGGGCTCAAGCCCCAGTAGCAACACACACACACACACACACACACACACACGAGACATGCAATCTACTGAGAACCCATACAGAGGCCAGAGACAGCACAGAACTCAACAGGAAGAGGTGCTGAATACCAGCAAGTAGAGTTTTTTAAGGTCACATCCTCCACTGAGCCAACCCAAGCAGCCAAGCGAGTCTTCGTCCATGAAGTCACCTTGAAGTAGCAAATAGTGCCTTCTCAGCTGCCCTGAGAACTGCTCAGGTCAAACTTCCTACCTTCAAAACCAACAGACGATTCTTCGCCAGGCACGTGTATTGTGCAAACATCTGCTCCAAAGAGATCTAAAGCCAAGAAGTGGCATTCTACCTCCAAAGGAGCTTCTTTGTCCCAGGGGCTTGGGTTGTAAAAGACACTTTATTTTCAGACTCAGAATCAGGACACTGAATCCTCTCTGGCCTCTAAAATACAGGAATTATGAAGAGAGAGATTGTTGAAAGCAAAATAAACCTGTAAATCCTGCTAGGGCTTTGCCCTTCATTCCAAAGGATTTTTTTCCCTCAAAACAATACCATTAGCGTGCGCGCGCACACACACACACACACACACACACACACACACACACACATACACACACCAATATGATAGTTTTCAAAGGGAGGATTCTTTAAAACAGAATCCTAGCCCTTCGTTCAAAATAACTCCCAGATAGCAGAAGAAAATCAGGGCTTCAAGACCTGAGGGCGAAACCATTTGCATTCTCAGGACCACAGAGAGCACCAACTCATTTCCAGTATCTGTGCACAGGCTCACCAAGGTCCACCTTAGAAACGAGTCCCTTTTTATAGAACTCAAATGTGTTTCCCTGCCCTGCAGGCCTCTTTTCTTCCAAGTGTGCCACTGCTGGTTCCCAAAGACGCCTGAATGGAGAGTCTCACACAGCCAGCAAGCCAAGGAGGACTCCTTGACTTGGAAGTTATTATAGCATAAGGCAAAGCATGCTGGGACCAGGCTCAGAGAGCTGGGAAGAGTTCCTTGTACATTGGAGAAGAGAAGAAAGGTTTGCCACGTAAAGAAAAGAATCGGGGAAGCCCTTACAGGTGGACGGTAAAACAAGCATCATGAGTCACAGGGACCAGAAACAATCACTATGGCAACAACTATGTACCCCCTTTTTCTTGGACGTGGCCTGTGTGTGTGTGTGTGTGTGTGTGTGAGCGCGTGCATGAATGTGTGTGTGTGCACATGCATATGCACTTGAACTCACAGCCTGGGTGCTGTGAGGTTCACTCAAGATGGGTGCTCTACCACTTGAGACACAGCTTACTTTCTGTTTTTTTGGTGGTTAATTGGAGATAAGAGTCTCACGGACTTTCCTACCATGACTACCTTCAAACAGTGATGCACAGATCTCTGCCAAGTAGCTAGGGTTACAGGCTTGAGCCACCATGGCTTGACTTCTAAACTTTGAACTTAAGCAGGAAAGATCACCTAGCTGAGAGGCCGCCGTTTTTCACTGTTACAAACATGCCTTTAAGTAATATGTCAGAAACCAGTCTCTCCACATCTTAGGGAGGTGTGTGATCAAAATAACCCAGCCTGGGCTACTCACAGGTTAGCAGGATGGGAAGGACCTACTCCTGTGGGACCCCAGAGCAGGCATTCCCTGCACCTTTTTTCTCTCCTCCCTGAAGCTAGGCTCCTTCCTCTCGCCTCTCAGGCTGCTTTCTTCAGGCAGCTTCCGCTTCTGTCTTGATTAGTGCTACCAGATCACCTGGAACTCCCTCACCTTGCCCACAGCACTACGCCAGCACTCCCCTGTGCAGCGTGTGGTGCATGTATGTCCACAGGTTCGCATTCAGTTCTGACGGGTCTGCAGCTCCTTCTGCATCCCCTTAAATTCGAAGTCTTCTGAGCTGGTGTTGGGGTGGAGAAGGGCTCCCTCCTGTAACCCTAGCTACTTAAGAGGCTGAGATCTGAGGATCACAGCCAGGGAAGTTCATGAGACCCC